CCCCTCAGCGTGCTTTGCCCGGCTGCCTCCTCAGCCTGGAACATTCTTCCACCGGCGCTTCAAATGTCTCATTTCCTCGTATTATTTAAGTCTCTGGTCAAATATCACCATCTCAGAGAGAACAGCACTGACCATCATGTCTAAAGCGGACTCATTTGGTATCCAAGAAAATGTTAAAAATAATAATAATAATAATAAAAGAGCTGGGCGCGGTGGCTCAGGCCTGTAATCCCAGCATTTTGGGAGGCCGAGGCAGGTGGATCACAAGGTCAGGAGTTTGAGACCAGCCTGGCCAACATGGTGAAACCCCGACTCTACTAAAAATACAAAAATTAGCCAGGCGTGGTGGCGGGCGTCTGTGGTCCCAGCTACGCAGGAGTCTGAGGCAGGAGAATCGCTTGAACCCAGGAGGCGGAGGTTGCAGTGAGCCGGTTCTTGCCACTGCACTCCAGCCTGGGCAACAGAGCGAGACTGTGTCTCAACATAAATGCAAAAATAAATAATAAATAAATATAGAATAATAATAATAATAATAAAAGATAAAGAGGCGTGTAAGAGAAAAATGGTGTCGTGGCCGTCACGCCTGTAATCTCATGCAACTTTGGGAAGCCAAGGTGGGACGATGTCTTGAGCCACGGAGTCTCGAGACCAGCCTGGCAACATACTGGAAACCCCATCTCTACCAAAAAATACAAAAACTAGCTAGTCTATAACGCTGAATCTCGAAAAAAAATATAATAGAATAAATGTAACAAAAAATAAACTGGCGCAGGTGGCAGTGGCATCAACGTCTGTAATCCCAGCACTTTGGGAGGCCACGGTGGCAGATCACATAGGTCAGGAGTTTGAGACCAGCCTGGCCAACATGGGTAAAAACCCCATCTTTACTCAAATACAAAAAATAGCTGGGCATCGGTTGGTACGTGCCTGTAGTCCAGCTTACTCGCAGAGGCTGAGGCAAGGGAGAATTGTTTGAACCTAAGAGGCGGAAGAAGTGCAGTGAGGCCAAGACACGCCATTGCACTCCAGCCTGGGCGACCAGAGTGAGACTCCATCATGCAATGCAAAGTAGCAATGCAATGAAAATACCAGTCCGCGGTAAGCTCACTCCTGTAATTCCCGAACTTTCAGAGCCCGAGTGCTGACAGGTCACTTAAGATAAGGAGTTCAAAGACTCCAAGCCTGACCCACATGGTAAGAACCCTGTCTCTACTACAAAAATACAAAAAATTAGCATGGCGTGGTGGCAGAGTGCTGTAATCCCGGCACACTCGGGAGCTGAGGCGGGGAGAATGAATTTGAACCCTGGGAGGTGGAGTAGAAGTGAGGCTGAGATCCCGCCACTATACACTCCACCCTGGGTGGACAGAGCAGACTGTAGTCCTCATAAATAATAAATAAATAAATAAATAAATAAATAAAATAAATAATAAATGAAATGATAGAAGAAAGAAGACTCAATGCTCCAGCTGGGACTTATCTGCACCTTATTTCTTCAGCCAAGTATATGATCCTACTGACATTCTCTATTTATTCATGCCCGTATTCATCTTTGCCAGGGTCCCCAATAAGAAAGTACATCGAGCCATGCGTGGCCTGTGGTCAACAGAGATGATTCCCTCGCGTTCTGGCAGGCTGGAAGCATGACTGAGACCCCCAAGGTGTCGGCAGGGCACGGTTTTCTCACAGGCTTCTCTTCTGTCCTTGTAAATGGCCTAACTTATCCATGTATCCTTCACATGGTCTTCCCTCTGTACCTTGTCTGAAGTCTCAATTCCTTTTTCTTTCTTTTTTTTTTTGTTGTTGTTGAGTCGGAGTCTGGCTCTGTCACACTCAGGTGGATGGCAGTGGTGTGATCTCCGATTCACTGCCAACTCTCCCCTCCAGGTTCACGTGATCTTCTCTGCATTCAGCCTCCTGAAGTAGCTGGCAATTACAGGTGCCCGCCAGACATCCAGACTAATTTTTTGTATTTTTAGTAGTAGACGGCGGTTTCTCTATGTTGGCCAGCCCTGGTTCCTCAAACTCTGACCTCAGGCGTGATAAAACCACCCTCACTCTGCTCCCTCCAGAGTGTTGGGATGTACAGCGCCATGAGCCACTGGCGCCCCTGGCCCTTATTTTTTTCTTTTTTGTTTTTAATGTTTTTTGTAAGAGAACAGGGTCTCCCTATGTTGCCCAGGCTGATCTTGATTCCTGGCCTCAGAGATCCTACTGGCCAAGAAACCTATTTTTTATCTCATAAGGACACCAGTGCATTGGAATTAGGGTTCCTTCCCTGAGGACCCTTGCTTTAAACTTAATTATCTGTTTTTTTGTTTGTTTGTTTTTGTTTTTGGTTTTTTGAGGACAGAGTGCTCTACTGCTTGTTGCCCCATGCCTTGGCGGTGCAGTGGCTCGATCTGTCATGCTTGCTGCAACACTGCCTGCCTCCAGGATTCAATCGGCGAATTCCTCCTGCCTCGCCTCTCCGAGTTTAGCGTGGGATCACACGGCCGTGCACCACCACACCCGGATAATTTTGTCATTTTAGTTAGAGGATGGGCTTTCTCCATATGTTGGTCAGGCTGGCCTTGAACTCCTGAACCTCAAGGTATCCCGCCCCGCTCGCCTCCCAAAGTGCTGGAGATTACAGGCATGAGTCACTGTCCGGCTCAATTTTTGTATTTTTAGAAGTGATGGGATTTCACCTGTTGGCCAGGCCAGTCTCGAACTCCTGGCCTCAGTGATCCAACCGCTTCAGTCTCCCAAAAGTGCTCGGATTATAGGCGTGCCTGGCCCCTAATGGAGTGTTTATTGAATTTTGTGTTTCGGATTCCTGTGTTTACTTAAAGAAAAAAAATTGTGGGGAATGTGCTAAACATAAAATGTACAATTTGAACCATTTCCCCCTTTTATTTTTAATTTTTTAATTTATTTATATAGCTTTTAAGAATTGGGGCTTGCTCTGTGGTCCAGGCTGGAGTGTGGCGGTGTGATCACAGTTCACTGCAACCTAAAACCTCCTGGTGCTCAACGCGATGCATCCA